GGGTTGCTGAGTATTGGGGCCATTTTTGCCAACTACTGCAAAGGTTTTAAGTAAAAGAGTGATTTTATTAGAGGGTAAAATGGTCTCTTTAGCTTCTGAGAGGAGAATGGATTGGGGGCAGTATTTACCTCAATATCTGTTCCTTCCTCCATTATTAGTAGGAGTTTTTATTCCTACACATTGCTTCCTAGAATAAAGACTGAATTCTCTCTCCTCCCTTATAACTCTATGTAGCCATGTTGTGTGGGACTTTTAAGGAGTCCTCTTACGAAAAGAGTCAAGCCTTTTTCCTGTCCTCCCGCCTCCTGCTCTCCTTGATGTGTTGGATGGAGCTTGGGCAGCCATCCTGGACCATGAGGAAGAGGGTCTCATCCTAAGGATGGCAGAATGGAGATTTGGAAGGACCTGATCACTCTGTAGAGTCACTGTACCAGCCTGGACTACCCGCCCAGTGTTGCCACTACTGGCTTATAGCTGTCCCTTCTCTGGAGGATTGCTCTTGTTTGGATGGGAGCTGTTCCACCCAGGAGGTTATGTTCCCCCAACCCAGGGCGTAGGGGCACAAAGAGCCTGCCTCCATTGATGACAGTGGGACTAGCTCTGAGTTGCAATTGGCACGGCAGAGCTCCCCATGGGCTCAGCCTGAGGCTGGTCTCCAGCCCCTTCCCTTCCCCGTCCTGCTTCCCTCGCTCTGCTCCTCCCTGGAGTACTCCTTCAACAGCTCTTACAAGAACCCCCATCTCAGGCTCTGCTTCTAGCGGACCCGACCTCAGACACCTACTCCCCCTCCCTGCCCATGAGGAGCCACGGACCGAGAGTCCGGCTCTTTCTTACCCAGTAAGCTCCTGGCTCAGAAAGATCTGTCACCGCCAGACTCAATCCGTCTCGCCCACTGGCTTTAGAGTGGGCAGAAGAGGAGAGGTCAGGCGCTTGAATCCAACAGAACAGGCACCACGGTGTGAAGAAAACATGAAAGATGACCTCCATCCGGGCCGTGGCTGGAGGCCAAGGGAGCGCTTGGGAAGAGAGGCCTCCGATTTGGTCAGCATGCAGGGCCCACCAGCCTTTCCTGCCTGCCCGCCCCAGGCCTGTTTGAAGTCTGCCGGCTGCCGCAGTCTGCTGGGCGGACAGCATTTGTAAGCAACTCTCTCCCCAGCCCAGTTAATAATTCAGGAGCCAGCGCCTGCAGCCAACTGATCATTCTAACCCCGCTGCACCCTGAACGCTGGGCCAGTGGACAGGAAAGGAAAAATCACCATGCCCGCTTGAAAAATGGTCCTCGCTTCAAGTGCGTGCTGCATCCCAGCGCTCGGGTGGGAGAGAGCCGGGCCAGACATCGCTGCTGGGCGGCCAGTGAGAGGAGGCTGGAGCCCTCCTGGGGGGTTGGGCCTGTACACTGAGTGGGATTTAACTTTTGGATCCTGAGCCACATTTGGTTTTGGACAGTGGGCTGTGGTGCTGGAGCGCAGTTGGAGGACCCAGCTCTCTTCCTTTGATTCAGCCATTCGTCTTGCACTCACTCATTCATTCATTCATTTGGCAATCACTGATGCTGCTGACATGGCAGTGGGCATCGAGAATACAGAGGGGCTGGGGAGGGGCTGGATGGAGCTTGGGCAGGAGGCGGACACCTATAGTGGGAGGCGCTACACTCAGGGGCCCGAGACAAGAGACAGCTGGCTGGGGATTCTGCGTGTGGGTGCAGCCTGTTGCTGGGTATGCTGGGGGCCCTAAGTGCCCAAAGCAGAGACGGGGGGATGGAGAGGTTAATGGTCAAGACCATGGACTCTGGGCCAGGCTGCCTGGGTTCAAATCCCAGCTCTGCGGCTAACTCGCACAGAGTTAACCTCTCTGTGCCTCAGTTTCCCCATATGTAAAATGGAGTTAATAATGGGATACTGATGCAAACTGCCTCATATTGTTAAGATAGTGGACAGGGAGTTAGAAAGTTAAAATGAAAAAACCAAAACTGTGACAAATACAAATTGCTGGCCACTGTCGAGTAAAGCTACTTTTAGAAAATGATCGGCAGTTTCTTAAAAACTTAAACACCCTTACCATACCAGCCAACAATCCCACTCCTATTCACCCAAGGGAAATGAAAAAGTTATGTTCACACAAAACCTTGTATGTAAATGTTTCTTAGTGGCTTCGTAATCTCTCAAACCAGAAACAACCCGAATGCCTTTCAACCAGAGAACTGATAACTGTGGAACACGACTCAGCAATAAACCTGAACAATGTGGGCAGGTCACAAGTGCATTACGCTCAGTGAGAGCAGCCAGGCTCAAAAGGCTCTGTATGGTGTGATTTCATGTATAGGACATTCTGGAAAACTGTGAGGACAGAAAACTGATCTGTGATTGTCGGAGTGGAAGGAGGGACTGACCACGAAGGGGCATGAGGGGATTTTTGGGGGGTGATGGAACTATTCGGTATTCTGGGTGGTGGTGGATACACAACTGTATGTGTGTGTTTGTCAAAAATCATAGAACTGTACGCTAAAAAGGATGAATTATACTGCATGTGAATTATGCCAGGTGGAGGGAACAGCGTGTGAAAAGGCCCAGAGGCTTGAATCAGGTTTGAGATGCTATGTAGACGTTTAGATGGAAGTAGGAGTCGAGGTAGGGAAAATATATTTAGGTCAGTTTGTGAAGAGCCTTGAATGCCATGTCAAATCCTTTGGATGGTGGGAAACTTCAAAAGTTTTTAAGCAGTCAAGGACTATAAGCAGATTTTTGTTTCAGAAAGATTCTCTGTTCTCCGTTTAGAATCAGAAGCTGTTAGGTATATGGGCCTGATCCTGCCTTCAGAAATGTTTTCATTTGCCACCCCCCTATTTTTTAAAGAATTTGAATTTGTGACCAACATTTAAAAATAAGGAGTTTTTACATAGAATTCTGGAATTTTGGCTTCTCTGTAGATGGGATGCATGCTCTCCAGTTTGCCAAAGCCCCACCTTCACTCCCTTCCCTTCCTGGCCCCGGTAGGTGTGTCTGTTTTTGACCCCAGTTGAAAGTGGACTTGAGGAGGAAGAGGTGAAGGGCAGTGTGTCCCCCAGTCCCGGCTGGCATTGTCGTCACCTGGGAACTTTAAACACTACCGATGCTCAGGCCCAATCACTGCGGGCGCCTGGGCATCTGTATTTTTTAAATGCCCCCCAGGTGATTCTAATCCAAGGAGCCTGTGGCCGCCAGACTGAGGGTTCCAGCGTCAGCTATCTGATACAGCTGTGCCCACAGCTCTGCCTCCGTGTGCCCTCTGTTCTCTGAGACAGCGAAGCAGGGGACCGTCCTAAGGGAGGGCCGAGCAGCTTCCCTGGAGACTGCCTGCAGACTGGGGCTCTCTTGGGCAGGGGCAGGGCCTCCTCTCCTGTCTGCCTGGGTCGTGGTGCTTAGGCCCTGCTGAGCGACTTTGCCTGCAGGAAAGTGGGGGAGAATGTACTCAAAAGAGACCTCATGCTCAAGAAGAAGGAACCCACCAATCCAGGCACGTGGTGTCCTCAAACCCAGAACCACTCCCTCTCTCCTCAAACCTATCAAGACCATCTGCAGAACCACGCTGACGCCTAAGCAGGTGCTGCGGTGCCATCTTTTTTGTCGGGAACCCTTTTCTCCATATTAGCAGTCACTACCCTTTCTGTGCCTGTGAATGAAGCAAGGCAGAACCCACTGTGCCCATTTTACAGATGAATGAGGAAACGGAAGGAAACGTTTAGCACCTATTACTGGCCAGGTACTTCATATCCATTTTCATGTAATCCACAGAACCACCCTGTCTATGTATGCAATAGAGATTATTGTTCCCATTTTCCAGATGAGGAAACTGAGGCTGGGAAAGTTTAAGGATTTTGCCCCAGATCACCAGTTTCGAAGTGGTGGAGTTGGTAGCTGAGTCCTACTCTCTCCGTGGTTCTGTGGTGTGTTTGTGGCCCCTGGTCACTGTAACCTCAGCCAGGGACGTGCACACAGACGCACACACTTATAGCCTCTCTTGACACCTTTTATTGTCTTTGGTGCCCCCTCAGCTTTCCTTCTGGTCCCTAGTGGTGTCTTGGTGACTGTTCTGGCTCCACCCCTCAGTGGACGCGCTCACTCCCCTGTCTGTGTGGTCAGCCCAGGGAGGGCTTTGTTGTCTTGAGAAGGGGCGGGGCAGAGACTTTAGCCTTCCCACCCACTTAGGGGACGTTCACTAAATGGCCCAGAGCTCTCCCATTGCAGCCATTCTCGGCTGGGTTGGTCTCTGTCACCATTAGGCATTTATCATGACGTCGTCCTGCCATAGGAAGCATTGTGCCAACCATCTCCGCCAAGGACGATTTCTAGCCTCCTTTCTTGTCTCTCTGCCTCCTCTGAGATCCACATGGAGACATGAATGGAGCATCAGGGAGCAAGGATGCTCCCTTGATGATGGGGCTTCGTGGACACAGTTGTCATGAGTGTCCTTTCTAGATGCTGCTGACCTCTGTGGGGAGCAGGTGTTACAGATCATGGTTGGGACCGAGCTCCCCAGGGACATGGCTCCCCACAGATGGTGCTCACTTCATCTGGCTCTCGACCTGGACAGTCCCAGACATGGTTGGTGGTTGTTTCTTCTGAGCTCATCATGGTTGGTGTTGGTTGTGGACAGTGTCCATCGTTTAGGATGGTTTCATCATGGAAAGTTCTAACTTCAGATGGCCACTGATAACACTTGTCCCCACTGACGGCTTTTGGCGCAGGTGAACCCACCACGATGGTTCTCAATACAGATGGTTCTGCCATTGATGGATCCTGTTAGGGATGGCTTGTCACTGGGGTTCACAGGAGTGATGTGATTGCCACTGATGATCTTGACACAGGTGGACCCAGCGTTGTTGGATCTTGATCTTGTTCTTCCCAACGATGGTTTTCAATGTAGATGGTCTCGTCTCTGACCACCAATTCTCGGTGTAGATGGTGCCCATCATCAATAGTTCTTGCTACATGTGAAACTCCAGTTGCTACAGATGGAGCTATCCATTGATGGTTTCTGACAGTGTGTACTTTTAAAGGCCTTTCCTAATTGTTTTGGCACAAACCACTCCTGGTGAAGTCTGGGTTTGCTGGGTCCTCACATCTGCATTTTTCGAGGGCTTGGTGGCCGGTGAGTCTTCTCATAAAGGCACGTGTATCTGGGCAGGCGGCTCACCCTTGGTGACCTGGTCGCTGGCTTTCACATTGCCCCCAGCCTCATCCTCCTGAAGACTGGTATTGCTCTTCAGCCCACTTTGCACGTTGCCGTCCACCTTGATGCTCTGGCAGCTGCTGGGCTGGCTGGAGGGCAGGCTGCCCACGGAGCTGACCAGCCCGCTGCTCACCTGGTAGGTCAGAGCGCTGCTGCCCAGGCTGATGAAGCTGATGCCAGTCAGGCTGCTGGCCCTGCTGTCCACGCAGCTGCTGGGCAGGCTGGTCTCACTTTTCCCCTCCAGTCTGCAGGGTGTCGTCAGCCTTGCTGGCCCGCTGGCTCTGGAACTGGCTGGGAGAGAAGGTGGCGCACAGCTGGCTGGTCTGGGCGCCGCCTGCCTGGGTGTTGAGCCTCCTCTTCAGCCGCATGAATCGACGGCTGCCATCCAAGCTGACCTTACTGTTCTCCTCGTCCCCCTCGTACCCGCTGCTCAACCGGCTGATGTTACTGCATTTCTCCAGGCTGCAGTGTCGCGAGCTCGTCACACTGCTGTCCCTACTGCTATTTCCCAGGTTATCAGGGGAAACTCTCGGGGGCTCTTGAGTCACTCCTGCATCATGGCACGGCCCCGCCAGTGACTGGGGCTCTAAGCCGGTGACTGTAGGCTTGGATCTTGGCTCTGGGTTTTCCAGGCAGAGGACTCCCCTTTTCTATCCTGGAGGAAAGTGGGGGGCAACTGAATTGGTTTCTCCAGGAGGATGGGGGTCCTGGGAGGCCTCTGGATGTTGGGTGTGGCCTGTCTGGGGAGAGGAGGCTCAATTTATAAGGCGTCCCTTTAAAGGGAGTGTTCTGATTGGCTGGCCCAGTTCCCATGGCGATGGGTTCTATGAGGCGGAGTGGGGGAGGGAGGGAGAACAATGCTGTTCTGGCACCAGTTACATCACTGGCCGGGGCTAGAGTTGCGCAGAAAAGGGGCCCATGGCCAGAAGAGGGTGACTTCCACTTTCTGAGGGGTCTGTGGTCTCTGCATTGCCACCTCCAGAGACCTGGCCCTGCATCCCAGCCAAGCTGCGTTTCTTTAGGATGTCACCTCGTCTTCTGGGCCTCCTTCTCCTCAACTGAGGCGGTTGTAAGGACTGCAGAGAATATCACAGTCAGGAGCTTAACCTAAATTCCTTGCTGGGTCTCCAAGGCCCTGCCTGGTCAGGCTCCTGTCTCTCTCTCAGCCTGGTCCCATGTCACACTCTACCCCTTTCTCGCACTGGCCGCTTTCTTATTCTGAGCTCTTACTTGCTGCAGGCCTTTTGCACTGGCTGTTCCCACCACCTGGAATGCTCTTCCCTGGGTCCCTTGGCCCAACTGTTGTGGGAGGCAGGGACAGGGTCTAGCTCTAGGGGACTAGCAGGGGAGAGGCAGGGTCGGGCACCAGGCGGGTAGGCTGGGGCTCAGGACTGGCTCTGCCCTGCATGAGTACAAAACAGGCAGGGGCCCCAGTGCTGGGGATGAATGAGCCTACTGGGACTCATATTCCCTCCCCTCCCCATCCTACCTGCCCCAGGCGCACTGCACCATGGGCCCGAGGACTGGAGTGAACACCGGGGGGCTTGTCCAGAATAAATGGCAGAGACCACGCAGTGACCAGAGTCCCCTTCTGCTCTAGCACGTATAACCCTGTGGATACAGTGAGGCCACGAGAACAGCCGTGGCTCGGCTTAGCACCGTCCTTCTGAAAGTCTCTCGGTCACTCTGGGGGTCTCGGGAAGGTGTCTCATGTGAGCTGCTGTTCTTTTGGTCCAGCCTTCTCGTTCCTGCCTGAGCCTGAGAAGCCACCCCAGGGTGCTGCCTATCTCGTCCCTGCCCAGGCTGGGTGTCAGAGCAGAGCTGCCCTGCCAGTGCTGTTTCCCGGCGCCCTCCAGAGATGCGGATGCTCAAGGGTCACACGGAGCAGCACCTTCTGAGCTCACGGGCCGGAGCCGCAGCAGGTCGGGCGAGAAGTGGGCGGAAAGTGTTCTCTCCCCCAGGCTCCTTTCGCTTTCTGGAGACCACGTACTAGGCTGCCTTTCCGGTTTCCAATCTCTATTGCTATTTGCCCCCCGAACCCTTCTCTCACTCAAACCCACACTCCATCCTCTTTCTCCGATTCCCTTTCCCTCATGTGTTTCAGTTTCTTCCTACAGATGACTGGCGCCCACAGGACCTCAGCCTGACTCCACATCCCCGTCAAGGCTCAGGCAGGAAACCTGGTCACAAGCACATCATCTGTGTGTCCTGGAGACTGGGGTCTACCCCTCCCTGGGGTGGCAGATACAAAGCTATATGTTCACTGAACCACCTCATTTCCCTCCTGGGCCTGTAGGAAAGTACATTTTCAACCCCCTTGCATCCAGGTGGGGCCAAGAGAACGTGGGCAGAAGGGATGTTCACCAGTCTAGGCCTGGGACATAAACGTCTTCCGTGCATCCTTCTCTTTCTTCCCTTTCTGCAGGGAACTTTGAAGCCACGCCCCAAAGATGGCAGAGCCTGGGTCCCTGAGTGACTGTGTGGAGAAGAGCCCCCGCCCTCCACCAAACGCATCTGTGATGTCACCAGCAGTGAGTTATTTCTGTACTAAGCCACCAAGATGAGGGGTGTATTTGTTGCCACAGCAAGAGTCTACTTTATACCCACTGATACACCACGTGCCCAGACACTGCCAATGCATTCACCGGCTTAGCTTTATCTCTGAAGGTTTCCACAGTGGGTTCTGGGCTGCTTTTCTGCTCAACATCCACCCTAAGAATCTCAGCATCAAAGTCCCCTGATGGGGGACTCTTCTCATATGATGAGGATGGGAAGGAACATTACCCAAGAGAGGTTCACAGTCCAGAAAATGGCCCAGCAGCCTCAGGCCTCCAACCCTAATATTTGCCTCTAATATAACCCTGGGTAAGTTAGGCATCAATTCTCAGAGTGTGACACACCCATGATCACTCCTAACTCAGTGAGGTGTTTTTCATGTTTTCATTCATTCCTTCAACAAATGTTTCCTGAACTCATATTCCTTCTTTCCTCCCACGAATGCTTACTGAGTACTGCTCTATGTCAGGCAGGATGTCAGCCCCGCCCTCAGAGATGGATAGAAAGATGTAAGCAAGGATCTGTCATGTGATGATAAATGTTGGGAGGAAAATAAAGCGGGGCAAAAGGGCGTGTGTGTGTGTGAGCATGTCTGCGTGTGTGTGTGCACGTCTGTACATGTGTGGGAACACAGTGGGCCACCGTCCCAGTCAGAGCAAGCTGGCACAAGGAGAAGAGGTCACAGAGGGGAACTAGGACCTTCTGGACCCTGAGAAGGGCTCTCTATTTACTGCAAGTGAGTTGGGAGCCGTTGGAAAGTTTTCAGCAGATGACCAGAGTTTGAACGGGCTGCTGTGTGGAGAACAGTCTGGAGGGCGCGAGCGTGGAGCAGGGGGCTAGTTGGGGCTGGAGCAGTGATCTGGGGAGTGATGGGGGTGGCCTGGACCAGGAGTGGCAGTGGAGGTGGACAGCAGGGGTTGGATCCTGGGCGTATTTGAAAGTAGAGCTCGGGCTTTGCTGGGGGATTGGATGTGGGGGTGAGAGGCAGGGAGGGGTCAGGGCCGGCTGTGGGGTTCAGGAGCCTCAGAGTCAGAGGCTGGATGGCCTTCTAGCAATGGCACAGCCTCCTCCTGGAGCACGGGGAGTGGTGGCTCCCTGGTAATGGGTGAGAGGAGGGGTGGAGCCTAGGGGCTAAGAAGTCAGATGGACGTGGGTTCGAGTCTCAGCTTCCCCTCTTTGGAACCTCGCTTAACCAAACCACAAACAGGAGGTGAGGGTTAAGTGCTCCACAGACATTCATTGAGAATAAATAAATGTGAAGTGCCCTGTTAGACCCTAGAGAGACAGCCACGAAGAAGGCAGACAAGTCCCTCCTTCGTGGACCTTGTAGTCGAGAGCGGGGCGACAGAGACCATGAACAAATTTCAGACAGCGAGAAGTGCTGAGGGGGGAAACAGGACGGGTGATGGAGTGAGTGGGGTGGTAGACAGTACAGTGCTCGATAAATAGTGTAATTGCCCCTCTCCATGTTGGGGCTCCAGCCAGAGAAAGGGCTTCAGACTCTGGTGTGCTGTGGTTCAAATGCTGTGTCCACCATCCGGGTGACACTGTGTGACCAAATTAACCTCTGAACCTCAGCTCCCCTACCTGGGACATGGAGCAACAACATGGATAATACCACTCCCTGGAGAGAAGCTCTCCCAGGAAACACCCAGGACATGTATACCTAAGTACATGTGTGTGTATATATATGAATACATACACAAGTATGTATGTGTATTTACATGAATATGTATACAAGCCTATATGTGTATGTATACATACCTAAGTATATATGTGTGTATATGTGAGTACATACACAAATATATATACAAATACACAAGTATATATGAATACACACAAGAACATATTTGCATATACATAAGAATATATAAGTATATCTACATGAATACATAAGTATACATATATATACACACACACACACACATACATATATATATACACACATTTTTTTTGTAAACCACAAAACCCTCTGGCCCTGAGCCTCACCCCCTGGGGCATCCACTCTCCCCTGAGATTCTCCACACAGAGTGTTCTTATCCGAGAGCCTCCCCTGCGATCCTCCTTGGGATGCCTTTATCTCTTTCCAAGAGGCCCCATCACTTGGCCCCATCTGGACGAGGACCCGTATTCGTTCACTTTAGAGCGTCCCTGAACACCTACTGTGTGCTCACTGGGCGATGTGGTGAGTGCTCTGCTAAGAGACAGATCCCCGCGCATCAAGGGAGCACACGGATCTCCCTGCCTTGGAGCCGGAGCTGTAGCGGGACCGTAGATGGAGGGCCAGCTGTGTGTCAGGCCCTGTGCCGAACGCTGGCATGTGTATGCCACTTAATCTCATTTCATCCTCTGTCTGCCCCAAAGCCCATGATTCTACTACCTGACTGGGCTGCCAAGCAGGGCTGGTCATGGGGGTGGTGAGAGGCTTTCCTTTGGGCCAAGAGCAGTGGGTACCTCCCTACTCGGGTGCCCTTGGTGTCAGAGCTTGAACCGGTGGACTCTAGGGGTGAACCTGGGTCCCTGGCAGCAGGACCTTGGAGTCTGTACCTTCTCCAGGGACAAGACAAAGAGAACCAGCTCAGCCATGGCCCGGAGGGGTGATCTGTCCAGGGAGAAAGGTAATTCCTCCTCTGGTGGCCGCATGATGGATTTTCCCCACTTTTTTTTTTTTTAATTACTTAAGGCACACACACAAAAAAACCCCCAAACAATAGAATGAACATCCATCATGTGCTCATCACTCAAGAAATAAGACATTACTGATATACCCCAAACCCATTTACCCTCGCCATGGCAATCCTCCCCATGGCAATCCTGAGTCTGACGCTTATCACTGAATCTGATGCTCATCTTTATTCTTGAAGTATGAAAGGACATGTCCCTAAACCAAAGTACAATTGTTTTGCATGCTATTAACCTTGATATAAATGGCATTCTTTCTATATCCTTCTACAGTGTGCTTATTATGTTCAACATGACATTAGTGAGATTCATGTGAGCTTCTGTGTGTAGCTCAAGTTCATTTTCACTACTGTAGAGTATCCTACTGAGGAACGTCATAATTCATCCATTCTCTTGATGAACATTTAGGTTATTTTCATTTTTTCCCCTGCAATCAACATTCCTTTAGGTGTCACTTTCGTATGACATTTCCCCTGAGGATTTCTGAGAAGGCTCCTCCCAAACAGATGATGGAAACTTCAGCTTGTTTTAACTACACGTAACATAGGCAGCAGATTCTGTTCCCCAACCCTTGGGCCTCATCTTCCATCTGAGTGTTTCCATGAGGGTCAGCTTAGGGACGAGAGGTCACAGGGAGATCTGTTGCCTACATTGTTTGGTCATACAACATGGCTATTCCAGAATATTCAGCTTTAGCTGAAGATGAGGTCACAGAGTTGACCCACTTGGGTGAGGTGAGGGGTTGGGGGGAGCAGGAACTGGGAGGAGGCTGGGGTGGCTGAAAGGGGGTGAGCCTCTCTAAGGGCTGAGGGCCACCAAGGAGGCACCCCTCCTCTCAGGGCTTGTCATGCAGCTTCCTGTGATCTGTGGCAAAAAAATTGTCTCGTGTTCTTCATTGTAGACTCCGTTGTGAAGGATGGGGACAGGAAGGGAGGAAGGAGGAGAAAGCTGCCTGAGGAGTGGGGAGAGGGATGAGAATTCCCTAGGTCCAGTGTGAGAACTGTGGAGAGAAGTAACTAAGCACTGAGTATAAGAAGCTGGATGTCTGAGTTCAAATCCAGGGTCTGCCACTTATTGGCTGTGTGCTCTCGGGCAAGTTACCTAACCTTTCTGTCTCAGTTTGGTTTCCTCAAAAGCAGATTTAAGGCGTGGACTTGGGTCCCCATAGCTCATTTGGGAGGTGGTCCCAAGAACCCAGTGAAGATATGGGCGGCAAGACAGGGAAGAAAGGAGAGCCAATAAAGGGGGTGTTACGGAGGATGTGGCAAGTCGGCTCCAGGCTCTGCTGCTGGGGCCTCTCAGAGGCTGTGTGGACCATACCTCAGGGGCTTGGATGTTTCACCACTGGCTCCTGTCCCCCATTCAGGCATCTACTGCATTTCCAGTTTTTCTCGAGCTCAGCTGAGCAAGATTCTGTGGTGCCAGAGAAAGCCCGGCAGCCGAGGCAGGAGGAGGCTGATGCAGTGCTTGCGGGGGAAGCCGTGAGTCAGCACTTGTCTGTACCTGCGGCCGAGCCAGAGCGGGGGTCAGGAGGACACGGTGGGGGCGTCAGCGGGGTCTGCTAGAGTTCCCCCTCTGCAGATGGGGACAGTGATGGTTCCTCTGGGCTGTAGTGAGGATTCCATGAGGCCGGGCTCGGCATACAGTAAGTACTCAATAAGTGCTAAGTATCAAGAGTCTGCCTCGTGCTCCCCCGGGGCTGTGGTAGGACCTCCTGGAAGAAATGGAAGCTCCGAGAGATGATGTAAATAGACCCTGGCCACGAAACTAGGCTGCAGGGCCACGATTTGGACCCAAAGGCTCTTGCAGAGAACACGTCTCACATTCCTGGGGGCTTCAAGCTGCAGGGCCCACAACCCTTGAAATTCCCAGAGCTGGATGCCAGGTGGCTGTTGCCTCGTGGGCCTCAGGTGGCGCACAAGCTGACCAGGGTGGGTCTCAGGAGGCCATCAGAGGGTCCCCTCTCTGGCCAGCAGAGGACGCTGAGCACAGAATATGCAGGGCAGTAACTGCTGTGGGAGTGACTGTCTCTATGCAGTGTGTGACTGGGGGGTTTCTGGGACATGGGACTTTCCATTTTAAGACCGAACAGGGCTGAGATGAGTTGGTCATCCTAACCTGAGTTGAAGTCACACATAGTCAAAATGCCCCTGAAAACCCACCTCATGCATCAGGCCACAGTTCTGTGAAGAGATCCCCCTCCTCAGACGTTCTCAGCACACTCAAGCTTGAGAACCATCAGTTAGACCAAAGGGCATGGGAAGCCCATTCTCAGATGCCCTAATGTGTCAGCCCTTGGGCTCTAAACAGAATAATAGTAAACTACTCAACTTTGCAAGGGTCAGTTGTTGCCTCTTTATGGTCAATATAAGACAAACTAGACTTGTTCATTTTGGGGTGGATTAAGTGAGAGCGTAGAGTTATATCTTACCCGGGGGCCGAGTCCTAACACGGGAAGGATGTTAAACGCTGGTTGGATGGGATTCTGGTGGTGGGGTAGGGTGTCAGGGCAGAGGAACCTTCAGAGAACAGTCCTTGCTTATTACGTCCCAGGTTACAGATGAGGAATCAGGCTCAGTGAGCAGAGATTTCCTACAGCTGCATGTAAGCAGGAGAGCTGGGATTCAACCCCTGTCTTCTGACCCCCTGTCCCATCTGACTCTGAGGGGGCACTGAAAATTACAGGTTTACAGATGGGGACAGAGGTTCTCAGAGAGGAATCCCTGCGTGGGCCATGGAGCAAGTGAGTGGCAGAACTAGAGGCCACGCGTGTCGCAGAAGGGCGGGGGTGAAGAGTGTGTAGGAACTGGATGCTCAGAGAGACAGGGATGGGAGCACAGTGGACAGAGGACCAGAAGGGCCCCAGGGGCCTTCACACCCAGACACACAGGATGTCATGTGTGGCCCCAAGCATCCTCGACTCGAGAGCTTCAGTTTCGCCATTTGTAAAGGGAGGCAGCGCTGTCAACTCGGCTCCCTCCTTGGGCTTTTGGGGTGTGGATGGGGAGCTCCCCCCAACTCCCAGGGGGGAAAACATTGCCAGGGGGCAGTTAACCATCATCCAGTCTGCAGGTGGCCCTGGCTGCCCTCGCTGTGGCTCCCTGGCGCTTCTCAATTAGCGCAAACCTCAGTGGTGCTGCCCCCATGAGCCCTGGCTGGTTAGCACGGCAGGGGCTGCCCTCGGAAAGGGGCCACTGCTGAAGGGCGAGTGGCCTTTTCAGCAAATTATCCCTCCACGTTTGCAGAGAGGAGGAATTATTGACAGAAAATGAGGATATAAAACCCTGTTGGAGCTGAGCACCTTTCTGGGGTGCAGCACACTGAGCGCTTGGAAGCGGTCCAGCAGATTGGTTCGTTTTAATAGTCTGGGACTATAGTTCATCTGTTTAATTCAAACGAGGTGACATAATATCTCTCATTTGGACTTATTACTGCACGGTGATGATTCTGCTCCCAGCATTCTCTGGGCAGGACATTCTGTCATTACTGCACATTTTCTCTCTCTGGCCAAATTGAAAGTCCATGGGAAGGGCTGCAGCCTTGGGAAGGAGAGCTCAACAGAGAATAGGTCACGTTGGGTATTATGGAATGAAAATGAATTCATTCTTTCCTCTGTTGAGTAAGCAGCTATACTTGGGTCTCTGTGATCCATGAAATAGGCTGTCAGGAAAATAGGAAATGGGCTGCATTTGAACTTCCCCCGTTGATTCTGCCCCTCGCCTTGGAGACGTGTTGCCGTCTGCCCAGGGCACAGGCATGAGGAAGAGGGGCACTCACATTTACAGGGCACCCACTGCATGCCAGACGCCTGGCTCCATCAGTCCTGGGGCGGGAGCCACGTTATTATCCCCATTCTGCAGTTGAGGGACAACAAGGCTCAGAAAGATCCAGAGACTTGCTCAAGGTCACCTAGGGGCCGAACCCTGCTGGGGTTTGAGGTGCCTAGCATTATGGCTGGGAACTCGGCCTGAAGAACCTCAGAGCCTCACTGTCCCGTGGCCAAGCTGCTCAACATGAACTGTCAGCCTCCCCCCTGATAGAAACGCCCACTGTTGCCTCGTTGCTGTGAGGGTTAAGTGAGGGGTGAACACAATGGGCACAGCGGGGGCTCCATGCACAGTGGCTGCTCAGTGTTGTCGTTATTATGAACTGTCGCCTTCCCGTTCCCCAGATGACAGCGTGTGAGAACGAAGCCTGGAGAGCCAGTGACTTGCGCTAAGACCTAGTGAGGTGACGCTGGGGCCGGGACCCGTCCCTAGGACTCACTTAGGAGTCCCTGCTCTTTCTGCCCCGCCAGGTAGTAGAAAGTCTGGGCTGGGGAGGGAGTTTTGATGTTTGTTATGGAATTACCCCTCCTCTGCGTTTTTTCTCTCCCTAACACCCTTCACCAGCCCTGTATACTCGCCTCGGTTATCTTGTTCATTGTCGCCCACCCGCCCGAGCATTCCCGTGAGGAGGGGTCTGACCCGTTCACTGCTGTATCCCCAGTGCCCAGAGCCAGGGCTGGGACTAGGGTGAGGTGGGTGAGGCAGGTCTCACAAGTGCAGGCTTAGGTCCTGTCTGTTGTTAAAATTTTGATAGTTTGTTCATCATAGATGTTTTTGCATTAATTTTTATTTTGACTAGCATTGTATTAAAATATTGATGATCTCGATTCCTGAGTGTTCGTTACTCTTAAATTTTGCCCCTGAGACGAGTGCCTCTCTGCCTCACCCTAGTCCAGCTCTGCCGGGAGCGGTGCCTGTCATGTGGTTACAGTCAATGAAGATTTGTAGAATGAACGATGCCCTATTCTGTATCAAGGCTCATTTCCTGAGTCCCCGGAGAAGAGACTGTCTTCCGGTGGGTATTCAAGGCTCTCTGTATGTGAAGGAAGCTAGAACCCCAGACTGAACTTTTTTTACTTGGCTCCATGATTTGGGGACAGCTGAGTATTTCTGAAAGCAGTGAGCTAAAGGATA